ATTGTAACAGTCTGTTCTGTACCATCACAATGATCATCAACTCCATCTTTAGTAATTGGAACACTAGATTCTCTCTCTATATTCCTTTCATCAGGTTTCACAAAAATCTTCAACAAAGTATCAATCTTTGATCCTAGACTTTTCTTTAAATACTATGAAAGAAACTAATAGCCCGTTTGGCCAAGCTGCAAAAATCAGCTTATTTTGATAAGTGCTTTTTTTCAAAAGTGCTTTTCTCAAAAGTACTTTTGGTGAGAAGCAGTTTGTGTTTGGCTAATTACTTTGAAAAGCACTTCCGAGCAGCCATTAGTGTTTGGCCAAGCTTTAAAAAACTGCTTCTAAGTGTATTTTTCTCAAAAGTGCTTCTCAAAAAGTGCTTTTGGAGAGAAGCTACTTTTTTCTGCTTCTCCAAAACTGCTTCTGCTTCTCCTCAAAAACACTTTTTTTCCTTCCAAAAGCTTGGCCAAACACCTCAATTTTTGGCCAAAAGTGCTTTTGGACAAAAAAAAAAAGCACTTTTGGCCAAAAAAAAACTTGGCCAAACAGGCTATAAGTAAGAAAGTTAAGGACATGTAGTCCTAAACTTCAAGTAACAAGTAAAAAAGTTAAAGACAGACAGTCCTTAACTTAGAGTAACAAGTTCAAAAGTTAAGGACACTTGGTCCTAAACTTCAAGTTTCAAGTTCAAAAGTTAAGGACATGCAGTCCTTAACTTTGAATTACAAGTTAAAAAGTTAAGGACAATAGGTCATGAACTTCAAGTTTCAAATTGAAAAGTTAAGGACACTTGGTCCTAGACTTCAAGTTTCAAGTTCAAAAGTTCAGGACAGATGGTCCTGAACTTATACTTACAAGTTCAAAAGTTAAGGACACTTGGTCCTAAACTTCAAGTTTCAAGTTCAAAAGTTAAGGACAGACAGTCCTTAACTTTGAATTCCAAGTTCAAAAGTTAAGGACAATAGGTCCTTAACTTCAAGTTTCAAGTTCAAAAGTTCTGGACAGATGGTCCTTAACTTAGACTTACAAGTAAAAAAGTTTTGGACAGGCAGTCCTTAACTTTGAGTTATAAGTTCAAAAGTTAAGGACACAAGGTCCTCAACTTAGACTAACTGAAATTAATGATATTACCTTGATATCATTTTGAATCTTTTTTTCTGATACAACTATTTTCTGATTTATTCTAGTAATTTCAACATGCAGATCCTTTTTAAACTGCTCTGATAATTTCTGAATCAATATCATAAAAACAAAAAAAGTCTCTTAAGCAAAAAACAATCAAATAAAAAACTATTGCTATTCAAAAATAGAAAACCTACTTTAACAATTTCCTTAAGCATGGCTTCATCAAATTGTGTGGAAGAAGGCATTGAGCTTTGATCTTGAGAAATTGGCTCATGCACACTAACAGGCTCTGTATCTTCTTCAATAGGAATAAATGGTGCCACCTCGATCAGCTGATACACCTATTATATAACAAAAAAAACATAAGTTTTCAGAGCTAAAACAAATAAACAAAAAAAAAGTTAGTAATTAGATTAACTTACATTTTCATTATGGAAGTATTTTTTTCACAGAGAATCATATTGTGGAGATTTCATTTCTGAATAACATAACATCCGAGAAAAACCACATTCTCGGGGTTCACAAATTGTTTTTCCTGGAAAATAGGCAATACTTCCATAATCCAAACACAAAAAGCAAAAGGAAAGCCAAGTATAGTGTAGCTATCCTTGTCTTTCTCTTTGTCTTTCTCTTTCTCTTTCTCATTCTCATTAGGCTTCAAACAAATCTTCAATGATTCTAATAACGTTTCATAACAAAGAAAGCCCCAGTTGAAAGAAGAGCAGAGTTCATCATCATCTACAATTTTCATTATCTGCTCGGACACATTCCTATTCTTCCGCTTCCCCATCAAAACAGATTCAACAAAATAAATTATTGCCAACTTCACAGCATCATCATCGCTGCCTACAAATGAAGCAGCTGTACCATTTGGGTGACTAGTAATAAAATTAAACAAATCACCCAACTCAACTCTATCCTTTCCGGGGAAATAGACTTTCGAAAGCCTATTCTCTTTTTCATGCAAACCTTTGATGTCCGGTGAAGAATAACACTTCAAACCAGTAACTATATGAAATGCTTCACGTGTAAACTTAATTTCATGGTCAAAAACCTTGAATGTCATCGAATCAGGGTCATTATTTACAATTTCTGAAAGCAATACACAGTGAATAAGTTTACCACAGAACTTCACACTTTGTAATCGGAAAAAGTTTCCGAAAATACCATCCCTCAACTTCTTCCACTGCCTGTTCGACAAAAAACTTTTGATTGTTTCCTTATACAGTAAATCTCCTTTCCAATAGCTCATTAAATTACGCCAAACATCAAAGTCGAACACACGATCTCCTTCCATTAGCACACTAGAAAGAAGGAAAAAGAACACAAAAGATTAGGACTAAAAGATTAGGACTTACAGTTACAAGTTGAAAAGTTCGGGGCACTTGGTCCTGAACTTCAAGTTTCAAGTTAAAAAGTTAAGGACAATAGGTCCTGAACTTCAACTTTCAAGTTCAAAAGTTAAGGACACTTGGTCCTTAACTTCAAGTTTCAAGTTCAAAAGTTAAGGACACTTGGTCCTTAACTTCAAGTTTCAAGTTAAAAAGTTAAGGACAGGCAGTCCTTAACTTATACTTTCAATTTGAAAAGTTAAGGACAGCTGGTCCTTAACTTTGAATTCCAAGTTCAAAAGTTAAGGACACTTGGTCCTGAACTTTGAATTACAAGTTCAAAAGTTAAGGACAGCTGGTCCTTAACTTTGAATTCCAAGTTCAAAAGTTAAGGACACTTGGTCCTGAACTTTGAATTACAAGTTCAAAAGTTAAGGACAGCTGGTCCTTAACTTTGATTTCCAAGTTAAAAAGATAAGGACACTTGGTCCTTAACTTCAAGTTTCAAGTTCAAAAGTTAAGGACACTCAGTCCTTAACTTTGAGTTCCAAGTTTAAAAGTTAATGACACCTGGTCCTTAACTTTTATGAACACAGTTAACTAATAATTCATAAACACAGTTAGCTTATGAATTCGTACGACTATTTTTATGAAATGTCCTTACATAATCAAATACTTTGATTGAACCACAAACACATTTCAATACCAAAAATTTCTGAATAACTTCCTCACAAAAATCCGCTACTTATTCGACACTAAATCAACTTATAATCATTATTTTTGAAATTTCACACATACTTGACAAAGCATTGATCGAGATTACACATATACAAAAACAAAAATGCATAAAAGCAAAAAGTACCAGTTCGATCGTTCAATGCAGAGAAGATGACAGAGAAGATGACGAAGGAGAAAGCTTAAGTGCAGCTGGTTTGCATGGGAGGACGATACAGATACTGAGGAGCACACAACTTGCCTCTGAAATTTTCGCTCTCAATTTTTCCCTCTGAACGAATAAAACAAGGGTTTGGGAATATAAGAATTGAAGAAAGGGTAAAACTGTCTTTTCAAAATAATTTTAATAGAGTAGTGGCTATTTTTGCTCAGCATTAGACTTAGTGGATAAAAAATAAAGACCACCTTACTTAGTGGCTACCACACGCCATTTTTACTCAAGATGGGCTAAAATTGGGAGAAATTCAAAAATAGCCAGATTTACAAGTGGCCATTCAAAAATAGCCACAGTTTCAAAAATAATCGAAATTTAGCCACTTTTCATGTAAAGATAAATCTGAACGAAAATACTGTTCAAAATCTGAAAAATACTCCAGCATATTATATTGGAACTCCAGTATAATATACTGGAGTTCCAGAATACTCCAGTATAATATACTAAACTTCCAGTATAATATACCGGTCCAGCATAATATGCTGGAAGTTCATACACAGGTGCTCCAATCTCTAGTATATTATGCTGGAACTTTTCGCGTGTTGGAGTTCCAGCATAATATGCTTGAAGTTCATACACCGATCTCCAGTATATTATGTTGGAACTTTCCGTATTGCAGCAAAATAGTGGCTATTTTTCAATGACTTTGCAAACGCTGGCTATTTTTGAATGATCAGTTCGAAAACTGGCTAGCCCGTGCTATTTTTACGCTAAAATTTGGGTCATAACTCAACCCGCCCAACTCTTATCAAGCTTTACTTAAATGTGTTGTTTTCTTATGAATTGTATAATTACTAAATAAGACTTTTTTTTTTCTTTTGTTGTCATATATAACATATCAAACAAAAATAATTACTTTTAAGATATTTTGGCAAAGTTACTCGTGGATCAATTTAGGCTAAAAATCAGCCCAACTTTAAATGAGTTGAGTCAAGATGGGCTGAGTTGAATGAATGAGCAGGTCAATAACCAGCCCAACATTAGAGTAAAAGAGCATGGGCTAGCCAGTTTTCGGATTGGTCATTCAAAAATAGCCAGCGTTTGTAAAGTCATTGAAACATAGCCACTATTTTGCTGGAACATGGAAAGTTCCAGCATAATATATTGGATATCGGTGCACCTGTGTATGAACTTCCAGCATATTATGCTGGAACTCAAAGTTCCAGTATGATATACTGGAGATTGGAGTATATTATGCTGGAACTCCAGTATAATATACTGGAGTTCCAACATAAGTATACTGGAACTCCAGTATATTATACTAGAGTATTTTTCCGGAATTTGAACAGTATTTTCGTTCAGATTTATCTTTACATGAAAAGTATCTAAATTTCGATTACTTTTGAAACTGTGACTATTTTTAAATGACCACTTGTAAATCTGACTATTTTTAAACTTCTTGGACGGGTCATTTGGGCTTGGGCCAAATTTGACAGCCCTAGGTAGGCTATTCTTTTCAAAATGCCCATTAACAGAGTTATCGTATCATACTATCTTAAAAGAAAAGTGGGAGCCTTAAAATGTTAGAATTTGAATTACCAAATATTGACAAAAACTAGCCCAATAACACGTGCGATAAGATACATATGCAACGCACCTGTCCAAAAACTAGTCAATCAAAAATAACACAACGATAAAAATCTAATATGTAGCTGTTTCAACACGGAAGAGTTTCAATCATCTTCGGGGAACTTTACAAGGGCTTAACACTTCCATAATAACATGATGCTGCCATAAACAACACAAATTTCTTATTTTAAGTGACCAATACAACTAGTAATAAGGTAGCTGGATCCACTCTTCAACAATGTAGATAGAATTTGAAACTGGACAGTAGGACCATGGCATAAAACTAACACTAGGTTGACAACATCCTTGAGAAACTATGTTTCAGAACCGCGCAGTGGAGGGCCTTTCCGAAATGACAGAGTGTAGATGATTCTTATTCAACTTTCTCCTGCGACGAGCACTTCCCCTGCATAATCATGACTTGCACTCATTAGTCAATGGGAGACATCAATGATAAGAAAACAACAGGAATCATTTACTGCTTTGTAGCACTCAAGAGCGTCGCTTAGCGGTTAATGAAGTGGGTGAAAACTATGGAAGATCAGTGTTCAAATTCCAGCATAAACAAAATGCTAGGTGATTCATTCCCATATGCTTAAGCATTGGTTAACAGAGTTACCCGGTACCTGGTACCTGGTACCTGTGATGATGGGAGGTAGCAGGTACCTGGTGGCAAAGTCGAGGTGCGTACAAGCTGACCTCTGACGCCGCCATTATAAAAGAATGATCATACACCAATTTGTATTTCAAGAAATAAAATAGTCGTAAGAGCTCAGACATATAGAGACATTGACAAGTACAACTGTGGAAGAATAAATAAGCGGCGGATGCATATAGCTGAGGTACAAGTACTACCTTCTCAAGATTTATCAGTAAAAAATGACGCTTCACTTGTGAGAGTAGGACTCCAATGGAAACTTAATTCATTATATTTTAGCGAAACCAATTAGTTGCCATCACAGTGCATCAAAAGCATTTCTTTAGATCTTTCCATGTAGGATTAAATGCAGAAATGTTATTTCAGTTTTGTTCAACAACTAAATTTATCAGAAAAAATCACAAGGTCAGTAGATCGAATAGAAAATAAGAGCAAGTGCATTAGATATGCTTAGCCATCCTAGTCATGGTATCTACTATTCTGGACTCTTTTGGTTAAACATCAGTATCTCACACAAGACGCAGTGTTGTTTACAAAAGCACCTTCTAGTCTTGAGAATGGTTTTAAGATTCAGTGTTGTTTACATAAAAGTAACACCACATTTGTTCACTATTTTACGGCATAGATCTAAAGTCTGAAAGCTATATGAGTTGGAAGTTCTTCAATGTTATCAAGTTTTGACTAGTGTGTTCCAACTAGACGGGGCATACAATAAATAAATTAATAATGGAGAGATGAAAGAAATGTTATGAAAATGCTTGAAAGGGATGACACTGACCAATACTGGTTGTGCAACGTGAACGAGTCAGTTGTAACTTTATTTCCATCATCATTTCGGTTCCAGTGGTAGAATGCATGTGTTCTATTCTTGATCTCTAGCGTCGAATGACCATAACTAGCTTCACGGAAAGCAGAATAATCTGGCTGTGGATCTCTAAATCTGCATAGAAAGGGAAATGATAATATAGTTCAACATCATGTAGAAAGCCACATTAGTTGGATAGCACAAAATGTACAGTAACAAAATTCCGTAAACCTAGGCTGTTAACAGAGGCAGAGTCAGATAAATCAATTACATGTTAAATAGACAAGTCCTTGGACATGATCTCTTGTGCAAATTGTGGTGGTTGGAGACATTTTTGGAAAGAAAAAAAAGGAGCAAAAACAAACGACAAAACATAGCTCAAACTTTCAGATAAGGCGGATCACATAATTCAGCAACAGCGCATAAGGTGTCATTGACTAGGGTAATCCCTGCAATCTGTGTAACTTACCTTGACGCAAGACCTTCTTGATTTCCTCCATCACCAACAGTAATGTAAATAGGAGCTGTTTTATCCGGTACGGGATAAGCATCACCACCCGAGACATTATAGTGTATATTAGATATGCGATACTGAAAAGGATAAAAAATAGGAGGTCTCAACATTACAGCATAATTATTACAATACAGATAAAGTTGAAAATTGAAAAAAGACAAGACAGAAGAAATGTGCAACTGATTTCTAAGTAAATTCTCTCTAAGGCAACAGTGTGTCACATACAGTAACTTAAAATTTCGTTTCCAATAAAAGAAAATAAGGTATTTATACCTCTCTAGCCTATATCCTTATAGCTTTCACATTACTGCAAGTTAGGCTCAAATATTTTGAGTAAGATGCTAGGTCATCTGGAAAATATCAGTTTGGCATTAAACATGATACTTATTGTCCACACATAAAATTTCTATCTTTCCTAATATTCATGTGTTTCTATTTGTCTGCTAAGACGCTCCAATCTTTGGTTGATACTATTATGTGGAAAAGACCGCGATTTACTCAAAGATATGGAGCATTGTGGGTTGAACTTTGAGAATAGATATCCTAGTTTCCTATTGATCTTGATTAGTTTTAGCTGAGTTTTCTTTATTCCCGAGAGTTAATTTCAGCTATGACCAAAGCCCACTAGCTAAGTGGTCATACAAAAAGCTAGATGATTTGGATATATAGCAAAATGACATCTTTTTCTTTGAAGAGACAAGCAGCGATGGCGAGTATGATGATGAGATAAGACAACTTACTGATCTTTCATAAGCATGGACATGGCCAGCAAAGATCACATCAACCCTGTGTTTGATAAACCATCTTTCAAAGACGGATCTCATGCTTTCCCCTTCCATGAAATGAGCTTCATTACTATTGTAGATGGGAACATGCATAAGGACTATAAGCCAAGGAGTTTTCTCTCTATTCACATTTTTCAGTTCCTGCTTCAGCCAATGCCATTGAGGTGTATATTTTACTGCAAGACCAGAGACACAGCGACTGAGTAGCTATCCAATCAAACGAACCATTTTTATGGTAGATGATGCTCAAAGGTATAGTAAAAAATGAACAACTAGAAACATTTTCAGGTTTTAGACAATTCAAAACTAGGTCCTAAAGCTTGTTCTTTGCATTATAAAACCAGCAGAAATTACTTTGTTCTAAAAGCTTGAAGAGACCTATACGTGAAAAAAAAATTCCCTAGCCAAATGCACCAAATGATTACTGGAACTTTTTTCTTCATTCACATGGACACGGTTAGTCCCATGTTCAGAAGATGAAAGTAGCTGAAATGAGGATGTTGATATGGATGTGTGGACATACCAAGAAAGACAATGAAGTTATCTATACTATACTAAAAGCACGAATGTCCTTAGCGAAATATAGTTCGCCCTTTTTACCCTTTAAAAATAGAGCACCCACTAGACAAAATAGTCATTTAACTATTTTCCTGATATTTAGGACTTCAAAATCACCTAAATTTTCTATATTATCTTTTTCCTTATTTAAACTATATAATATACCATATATGTAAAGAAATACTAGCAAAGTCAAAGTAGGAAATTAGTGTGTATTTAGAAGTCGGACTCCTTTAAGGTTTAGGAGTGTTGTCATTGTTATAGAATTATTGTCTTTGTTAATTCTTTAGAATTTTACTATTTTAGTAAAAATAATTGGAAGGGAATAAGTAGGAAGCAAATAAAGTTTCCTGCCGTTAGAACTCCTTATTCCTTTTTTCTTAAATACAAAATGTTACTCTTTAGTGTAAATATTCCAAAGGTTATTCATTATCCACGACTTTACAACAACTAACTTAAAATAATTAAAAGGTACACGTGCATTAAAATTTACCAATAAAAGAATAGACTTAATTTTAACTCAAAAACTATTAAAATTTTCTATACATCGTAAATCAAACCTAAAACCTAACATGACGAGTAAAAAAATATCTATGAATAAGTTTGCAAAAGACAGGAATACAATTTTCAAAATAATTATACGTATATTATAGAATAATAAACTATAATGTATTTTAAATTTTTTGTTAAACTTAACATGTCAAAGCACAAACCCTTTGCACCAAAAAAAAAAAAAAAGCACAAACCCAATTAGATAATTGAAGCATAAATAAGATACCGAAATTTATATATCTAAATTAATAGTAATAAAATTGTATGTATTTCTTAATAAGAAATTTAAGGATAAAACTTTAGAAAATAAAGTATATTATAAATAAGTCATCATTTTTAATGTTTTCCTTTTCTGGCATTTAGTCTAACGAATGATAGCCTCACTATATTTTTTTTATTAAACTATTTATCGTAAATACTAACCCAACCGTAATTATTTTTTAAACCTTGTAATTTCAAGTTCACAACTATTGAAGTCTCCTATACATCGTAAATCAAACCTATAAACATATTAGGACGAGTAAAAATATTATCTATAAACAAGTTTACAAATGACAAGACTACATTTGAAAATAATATAATTATAGTAATAATAACTATAATGTACTTTAATTTTTTGGCCGAACTTTTACATGTTAAAGCACAAACCCAATCAAATAAGTGAGCATAAATAAGATATTGAAATTTATATATCAAAATTATACTAATAAATCATATGTATCATAAGAAATTTAAGGATGAAATAGTAGGGAAAAAATGTATTGTAAATAAGTTGTCATTTTTTTTTTCTTTTCTTGCATTAAGTCCAACAAATGATGATGTCACTATATTTTTTATATTAAATTATCTATTGTAAGATATTAATTCAACTGTAGTCATTTTTTAGACTTTACATTGTCAATATTAATTTTTTGGAAGCTATAAGACCAACCTTTTTATTCTCTTTTTGTTTTGTTTTCAATATTAAGTCACTAAAATAATAATTTTCATAAGACCACATATGTCCTCATAAATCACTATAAAGTATCTAAAAACTCATGTCGAACATGATTTCTTCATTTATTGAGCTAACGAAATGGGAACAACATTCAACATTATTTTTTTAACTTTTATTATATAATTTATATTAGTCAAGTACTCCTTCCGTCTCATATTAACAGTTGTGGTTACTAAAAATAGTTGTCTCAAATTATTTGTCACTTTAGAAGTTCAAGACAAAATTGATTATCTTTTTCCTTTTTTACCCTTAGTAATAATTATCCTTGAAGACTATAAACAACTCAATTATGGACAACTTTATTCAAATACCAATGAAGAAAGATTAAATATTAAGACATGAATAAGGGTAAAGTGGTCAAAATCCTATCCTAATTAATTTTTTTTAAGGGGCATGTACAAGAGAATCATGACAGATAATATGAGACAGAGGGAGTACATAGTTTGATAATATTTACATAATTTTTAAAAAATTATGTATTCATTAATATAGGTACACGCGCAACGCGCATACCATAAAGTTAGTTAGGGAAAAGGGGGGAATGGCCTCTACGGAGGACAAGTTGCGGGAATCGAGGCTGAGATGGTTCGGGCATGTGAAGAGAAGAGACATAGATGCTCCGGTCAGGAGGGGTAAGAGGTTGACCATGGCAGGTCCGAGGAAGGGTAGGGGTCGGCCAAAGAAGTATTAGGGAGAGGTAATTAGGCAGGACATGTCATTGCTTCAGCTTACCGAGGATATGACCCACGATAGAAAGGTGTGGAGGTCGGGGATTAGGGTTGAAGGTTGACATGTAACAGTGTGTTTCTCCTAGGCTTACCAATAGTACTAAGAATATTCTTCTAATTTCTTATTCATGGTTCTTTATTATTACATGCTATGTCATTCGCGTCCGTTATCATATTACATTGTTGTTACTATTGTTTGTTGCTTGGTTGCTTTATTTTCACTGTTCCTTGAGCCGAGGGTCTATCGGAAACAGCCTCTCTATATTTATAAGCTAGGGGTATGGTCTGCGTACACACTATCCTCCCCAGACCCCACTTATGGGATTACACTGGATTTTTGTTGTTGTTGTTGTTGTAGTACATGGACATGGTTCGGCAGTGGAAGAACGAATAACTGGTAATGAAGAAAACAACTAGCAAAAAGAAGCCAGCAAATCATCTTGGCAAAACTGCAATGCAAAAGCTAATGAGCATGAGTTCGAGGATTTCTACTTACAGATGCATATACTTAGTTGATTACATGATGTTTTGCATTTCATTTAGAAAGTTCATTAGGCCATCTTAACACCATTAAGCTGCAAATATTTTGTTTGTGTGGCCTTTTAAGTTTCTGAAACTAGAGAATCTATAAATTCGCGCTTAACGGCAATATATCAGAACAAAGCATTGCACCTACAAAAGCAAGAGAAAAGGACAGATGTATTATTTACAAAGAAGCAAGACATAAGAGGGAACAATTACATACCAAACGGAGAGTAGCTTGATAGGACAATTATGTGAGTGGATGCCCTTCTGATGGCATACCAAAGGGGATTACTGCTTCTTGAAACTTGATAAGGTGTTGGGTATCTATATAGAAATGATTTGAATGGAACTACTTCCCCCTGTACATAATGAGAAGTATTGTTAATGGGCATCATAATATTTTAAATGGACACAGTACAGAGGTCCTTAAGAAGGGAGAAATTTTTATGACTCATCGGAGGTGTTATGTTATTCTAATTTAGTACATTTTAAGACATTGCTCTCAAAGACATGAACACATCTGAGGTCTGAATTAGAAATGAATATGGGAATTTTGCTAAATACAGAATCATGGTCATGCTTGGCGTATCTAGCCATCACGGCCTCAGGTCAATCTGAGGATTGTGAAAGAATCACCATTGCTCAACATAAGCGCAGACCATCTTTAAGTCATCTTTAGTTCGAGTAAATGGAGTGCTTGTGGCTACTAGAACGTTGCAACATACACTGACATCTCAGAACAAAATGAAGTAAATCTCATTTTGTAACTAGAAAGCAGTAGTAACGATGAGAATAAAAGATGTCCTACAGTCGTGCTGACGTTATAAACAACCAAAAACTTCGTGAAACATATGTAAGGTCATTACCATATTTGGAAAGTACTCTATCTCATGATTCCCAGCGGACCAAATCCATGGCTGGTATGCTGCACTTTGTTCAACAAAGCGGCCCCATGTATCCCAACGGACTCCAACATCGTTATACTCATATCTGTCAGCATAAGAGAGATCTCCAACAAACAAGACACTCTTTGCTCCACTTTGCATGTAGTGCTGAAGAGTTGAAAGAGAATTATATGTTTGACCAAGATCACCTGCAAAGAACATTTACTTATAGATTACGAGATAAGAAACATTAGCTGACTTCTTACCCAAAGATAGAGAGTCAATGTTTCTAAGTTTGCTTCCTATGAGTGGTTGACTTGTGTTACAATAGCAAGAAAAAATTCATCACATTGCAATGAAAGGAAACATTAGGAACTGATGTTCTTTTAAATCTGGCACTTTTGATGCATTTTCTTCTTTTGATGCATTTTCTTTCAGTTCTATATTGCTAAATCAAATAAACTATGTTTCTGTCATAACAAAGTTATGTGATGTCGTGGTGCATAACCCATCTTATAGTCGACAGGGATACAGCTTGTCCTTCTGAAAAAAATAAAACACCTGAAAGAACTTTACTTAGCTAACTTATCATATATAAATTTAAACTACTTACCGATGATGCCAAATCTGTAAGAAGCATCTGGATCAACTTTTGGAGGAGTTTCAAACCAAAAATTCCGAGCAGAATCGCTTTTTCCAATTTCATAGTAGTACTTCGTGTCATACTAAACCAGGAGGTAAAAAAATTGGTTTAACAGATTGAAAAAAAGGGTGAGGGGGAAAACATTAAGACATCAATATGCCATTTTCACCATGCAAAAGATGGGGAAGATGCCACATGTAGTATCTTCTGACGAATAAAAACTTTAAATCATCAAATAAGCCAGATGTAAATCAGAATTTGATGTTTTCCTATCAAGTCAAGTTTATATCCAAACTCTTGTAATTACGTCATATTTTCTTTTTTCTTTTTTGATAGCTAATACTTTCTTCCAACGCTACAGCAGAAAAATGTTAGTCGACCTATCCTTCTTAATCTTCTTTTTTCTAATGAGGCCCATTGTTCTTAGTCGTTGTGCCATTCTTTGCCTTGTTGAAATGAAACAGAGGAAGCCATGTAATAGGAACTAACGCTTACCAATTTTACTACCAGAGAGATGAAATACCACGCTAACACAAACAGAAAACTGAGCAGTACTTATTTGGTTGTGGGAAAAGTATATGAGAATGCTCACCTATATGCTACACGAAAACTGCACTGGCATGATGTAATAAAGAGGATAACAAAATGTTGGAGTTGACTACCTGAAGGCCAGTAACAAGGCACTGATGTATATAACCGGACTTGTAGTTGTAAAATGTGTAGTTTGTTACAGTTCCCTCAGCAGTAAAATCATATTTCCCCTCAGATAAGCCATAACGCACTTGGCCAGACCCTGGTTCATCAGGAGTTACCCATGAAATTATTACAGCCTTCCCGTCATAGTCACCCTGTGTAATATGCACCTACGAAAAAAAAAACATATCAGAGCAAGACTCCTGCATTAGAAACAGCTTGTTATTGAACTAGTCTCAAAGAAACCAGGGACAAAATTTGTCAGAACAAAAAAAAGTGGAGTTTAAGCTTCTCATTTTCTGGGAAACGATGAGCATGACAAGAACGTTTACTTAGAGATCTAGAGTACAGCAATATTATACTGTTTTTAATTTCACAATTTTTCTCATTTCGTCGTGATCATAGAGAACTTCGCAATCTGAAGAACGAATACTACACATTTAACAAACAACATGGATTTTATCTTTTTGACCAGGTTGAACTAAGACATGGACTTAAAGCAGTCAAATAAGAATTGACTAGGAACAAAGATTAATCAAACAAATACCTTTAAGAAAGCTTTGAATGATCCAACAAGAAAGTAAGCCTTAGGACTCCAAACTTACTTGTTGTGGAGCGTTATAACCCTTCGGAACTGCAAATACTTCATTTTCAAGAGGAATATCCACAGACGGCCATTGAGTTCGAACGAATGCACTTGTTATACCAGCATTACCATTGTCTATAAATGTCAAGACGAGAGATAACAAAAACAAGAGATGAAGCAACATTGGCTCCTCTCCTGCTAACTTCCAAGACGAGCACTGCTCAATCAGAGAAGAGTTCAGGAAACTCAAGTTTTAATTGACTGCATCCAAGAAGAACAAACACAGGGATCAGAAGGTTACAGAAATAACATAACTTGCATATTTATGAGAATATACATTAGTCCATCTCAAAATAGATTCCACTTTTGCACATTTATCACCTAATTCATCAAACTACAATTAAGAAACAAACTGAAAGCATCTAAAAGCAGAAGTTATTTTTTATGCCAAAAATATTCTCTTCCTCAGAACAGGTGTAGCTAGTACGATAATACTTATAGAAAGTTAGAAATAACTTCCATCCTTAAAGACAATGCTTATTTACCGATCTCTCATACCCCATCTCCTTGAAACAAGTAACCAGGAAGATAAAAGGAAAAAGAAGAAATAACATAGAAGAGGTAAAATGTGAACATTACAAGAACATGCTGAAAAATATCCTAGTAAATGCTACATTGACAAAGGTGTTCCAGTCCAGATCATTTAACTCCTTTTTGCCCATCTTTTTGGAAAAAACTTTCATTTTGAGGCACCACTTTGCCTTAAATCCCAATACAAAAAGCAACAATTCAGCATCATTTAGCAGCATCTTTATACTATCAACAAAGTCAAGAGGATTTAAAAAGATAATGAGAGATTCTTAGATCATTATCACTTTTCTCCAAGACTCATTCCAGTTCAGATCACATCATCAAACAAAAAGAAAATTAAAACCATGTCAATTATCGATTTCCAAAATGCAATCTTTTGAATTGGGTATACTAGAACTATTACAAATCAATAAAGAATGTATAAGTTTTTTTTATTGACAGTGGCCAACTTGCGCGCCCCTCAACTATTCCATCAGGTACCTGCTACCTCGAACAGATACCGAGCAACTTTGCCAACAAGGCTTAGGCAAATAAGAAGAAATCACGTAGTATTTTTTTGCCTCTAGTGGGATTTGAATCTAAGATCTCATGGTTCTGCTCCGACTTCATTGACCACTAAGTCACACCTTTGGGTGCATAACGAATGTACAAGTTTCCAGCTCATTGATAATATTTATAGTTCTTAACCTCTATGACTAAACCACATATCTTAAGAAAATCCACACTCATATGAATGAATGTAGCTAGAACATCAAGAAAGTGATATGGGCAGGGCTAAACTAGAGTATAACTTACGGATTTGGCCGAACCCAGTAGCTTTAGTCCAAAACCTGTATTTGTCTTAAGAAATCCATTGAGTGTGTACAAATTATTAATTTAGAACCTAGCAACTTAAAACAACCAGAATCCCGAACCCAAAAACTTCAAATCCTGGCTCAGCACATCTTAATTCATAACAAAAATGCAATCTTTTGAACTGGGTATTACTAGAATCATTACAATTTACAAATCTAATATTGTATCTTAGCTCAACAAAACTAAGCAGAAAATGAAGATCTTATATCAATTATCTTTATCAAAACATGCTATTTTCTAGATTGGGTGTACTAAAATATGATAGAAATGTACCACTTTCAAGATCATTGAAATTATTTAAAGTTTTGTACTTCCATCAAAATACAATCTTTCTTAAAAAAATCAAGAAAATAAAGGGAGTGATAAGGATATTGTACCTCAAAATGCTGAAACCACAAGGGAGTCAACTAGCAAGTCTTAGGTAATTTGTATTAGCAGAGGTTTTTCTATACTAAAAATGCTATCTTTTGAACTGAGTATTACCAAAAAACTGATCTTTTGAATTGGATATAGCAGAAATATTGAAAATTATTAAGTATAGTACAAAAGCATATGGCGTGAAAATGTAGGAATGTATTTGGCCGGGTGGGGGGGGGGGGGGGGTACGTGGCAAGATGTGACTGATGATCTCTTCTGTGAACCAGACGATTGTTATAGGCGCCCTCTGGACCCAGTGGATGGGTTTAGGATTAATGAATATCTTGCTTTTTATTTATTTATGGTAATTCTCTCTCATGGGATCTTTTTATCTTTTTTTGGTCTAATCCTCTTTTGATTTTTTTATAATGACATGTTGTTCCAGTTAGTTTCGATTATTTCATTAGGTGCTACTACCTTCAACCAGCAGCGTAGTCAGAAATTCTGCCAAAAGTATTCAAACTTTAAACAAATTAATAAATGTTTTATCGTTGAGTAGTATAAACTACTTGAAAAAGAGTCAAATAGGCCACAAACATTGGACTCCATTTATTTTTGGCAAACAAAATGGGCAGATAACTTTGAACATCCTGGACCATTGAACTGCCTTACTCAGCTATATTTGTAATATATAACCATATAAAATAACATTTGACTTATATATGCAATATAATTTTTTAACGAAATATGTTCGCTTGACCACCATTTGGAATAGTGTGGCTACGCCACTACATTCAACAACATATGTCAGATAATTTTACTCACTTGGACTTGATTATCTAGTATTTTTTTGGCTCCACTAAAATTTGAACTTAAGATTTTATAGGCTTTTTTTTTTTAATTCATTGACCATTAAACAATACCCTTAAGTGCCTTTGAATTTTTTTTTTTTCACTTTCTGCATTATAGGAGTTATGGGTAAATCTTTTTTTATTTTTTTCTATGAGAAATCATCTAGGCAGCTTCTTATGCAATATTATTGAAAACACATTCAAATAACTTTAGATAAGTTAGTTCATATTGACTATCTAGTAACTTCCCTCAATGGCCGACCTCAGCCAACATGATAGCAACCCGGGAACTTCAATCCCACCAAAACCTCCTGATATTGCAACAACCCACTCTCAACACATCTCGCATGATCAGATCAACTTGTATAAGGATAAACTACTGGGAAAAATCCAAATTCCCCATGAACATCCAAGTGAAGACTTACCTTCACCTATGTCTATGGATGTTCAACAAACTCCGACTATACCATGTCTACTAAAGACAGGAGAGAGCAGGATAAAAAGTATAGTCCTATCGGATCAGGATATCCAAAGAATTTATGAACCATGGAAATTCTCAGTGATAATCAAATTGATAGAAAAAAGAGTTCTCCATCACTACCTAAAAGCAAAAATACAAAGTCTTTGGAGACCGACAGAGAACTTCTCCTTAATAAACCTTAGGGAAGATTATTATACAGTTAAGTTCAACAAAGAAGAAAACGCAAGGAAAGCTCTACAAAATGGTCCATGGTTTATCAATGGTTTCTTCCTATCCGTCAAAAAATGGACACCAAATTTCGTAGCTACACAAGCAACTCAAAGCTACACTGCCATCTGGATTAGGTTGCTACAGCTCCCAACCGAATTTTACGATGGAATTATCCTGTCAAAGATTGAAAATGTTATAGGCAAGTTACTAAAAATTGATGCATGTACATCCTCTACCATTAGAGGTAGATATGCAAGGTTGTGTGTACAAATTCCTTTGGAACAAATTATCCAATCTTACATCCAAATTGGGACACATAAACAACCAATCCTATACGAGGGTGATAATATCCTATGCAAATCATGTGGCTGCCTAGGTCACTCTTCTTTAAAGTGCCCTCTCTCTACCCTGCACAATATACCCATAACCAATGATGAAGGCCAAAACTCAAAATCTCCTGCACCAAATATTACTGGTGAATGGCAGACTGTTTCTTTCCCAAAAGAGAAGAAGCCAATCACAAATCGAGGTGAGCTGCCAACAAGGAACTCCATCAGCAATACAGGTATAAATGTAAGAATTTTTGATGCAGCAACAGGTAAGTTCCTCAATACCCAGAAATTAAAATATGTTGATAAGAATTCTATTACCCCATTATCTCCGGATAAAAGTAAAAACCTTAGTAATCATCAATTAGACTCGTCTGTTAATACTAATAACACCCACCCCACCTCTAATGATGATATTAGTAGTAATAGCTTGCTAATACATAACGGGCACACGGTTTCAATCTCAAACAATGGTATCGCTAATACCACCAATTCCCTCCATGCAAAATCTCCCCATAATCAGACAAATGGAGAAAACGTGTCACCCCAAAAGACATTCCCCTAATTCCTACCTCCAAATGATTACCCCTAATAACAAATTTGTTATTAAAAATCCTAAAAAATCTATTATGCCCAGTGACTCTCGAGTAAGTAACAATACTATTCACGTAATAGACCCTAATGATAAACAAATCCTGACAACTTCTCCTAGTAAATCTTGCATGCAAACTAATGACCATCCTAAGGCAGAACACTTGGCAAAACCAAGCCAACAAATGTTGGAGATGCAATCTTCTCCAGATTTTGTTAAAACCCCTACGCAAAATACTTCTTCTTGCATGCAAATAGACCCAACTCTAGAAAATATCCCTACTCCTCTATCGAGAGTCCTAACTATCGTTCAAAACCCTCCTATATTAGATAACTCCACCACCCAAAATGCCTCACACACCACTAACCTTAATGAGACGATACATACTTATCCAAATATAACGTCTACATCATCCCTATCCAATGGAAGATCTTCCTCCACTACCACCACAAATCCCTACTTCACCAGTAATTTTATGCACAACCTCCAAACCTTCCAAACCATGAACCACAGTCCTGGATCGAGCTAGGACTAATGGGGCATGCAATATCCTTCAACTTGCAGATCAATGGTCAGGACTCAGTCCTAATCATCCAGAACACAAACTATTTGGCACAACTGATCTCAGAAGGTATGCACCTAGCCATGACCAACTACATCAACCAGATGTGGATGAACAACATCTTGCAGCCATTAGCTCCATCAATGAACCAAAATCTAGCAAACAACATGCAGGAAATGTGGAATATTCCGGGGAATCCAAACACTCTGATGCCCCTGAACATCCCTCTCAACCTTCCATTCTTTGCTGCGGAAGAGATGTCATTGGTGAACCCCATATTCACCCGCTGGGATGGGCAACAACCTCCACCCCCTCCTGTCCCTCAACAACAACCTCCTGCAAGCAGAAGAACAAGTTCAGCCACAGGAGGACATGCAACAACAAGAGCAAAATCAAGAGGTGGAGGAAGACCACATCCAACACTAGGGGGAACCAAGGGTGGCATTCTCAAGCCTAAGCGAGGTAAAAATCCTAATCTTCAAAGAATGGCTCGACAAGAAATGTATCATCAGCTGCCCGATGACTCTGTTCAGATGCTCAATAGATATAAGGACCCCACACGATCCAACAGTAGGAAAAAATATAGTCATACTAGTTCCATCCCACAAGAGGAACATTGCAATGGCAATGAGAGAGAACAGTCACAACCACCCTCCACCCTTGACGATGGGTCGACCAATTAACTTTGTTATTTGGAATGTCCGAGGTGCAAACAATGCTAACTTTAGAAGAAACTTTAGGAAAATTATGGATACCCACAAACCTAGCATGGTTACCCTACTGGAAACAAGGATGGCTACGCATGTGTCCATCCTAGAAGAGTTCAACTTCACAGAAATGATAGAGGTATCAGCGGAAGGGCAAGATGGAGGGATGGTGATCACGTGGAATCATGCAAAAGTTGTTGTTAACAACTTCACAAGAAGAAATTAGGAAATTCACGCCATGATAGAGGTAAAACCCAACCATAAATCCTGGCTTTTTAGTTCTATTTATGCTAGTACTAATAAAACAAATAGAGATATCCTCTGGCACAACATTAAAAAATTATTTGATTTTATAGGGCAGACGAAAAAATTGGTGGCAAGGCAGTTAACCAAAATAGAGCTAGAAAAATTCTAGCTAGCCTAAACCATTGTAAATTAATAGATCTAGGTTTCAAAGGGTCTAAATTCATGTGGTCAAATCATAGAAGGAAAAATGAAGGCTTAATTATGGAAAGATGCGATAAAGTTTATGCCAACTTGGAATGGCTAGAACAATATCCCCATGCCTCAATAATTCATCTTCCTAAGACACACTCCGACCACAATCCCATTTTGGTCTCCTTACAGCACAAAAATAATTCTTACATTGATAAGCCCTTCCGATTAGAAACAATATGGTGCTCCCACCCTGACTTTATCAAGCTAGTGAAAAAAATTTGGAGTAGTAACGTAAAAGCAACTAGCTCTTTTGAAATAGATGTAAGACTTTGGAGTAAAGAAACCTTTGGTAATATTCATAAACAGAAAAGAAAACTCCTAGCTAGGAAAGGAGGGATCCAAAACAGCCCTAAATATTATACAAGCCCTTTCCTCCAACAATTAGAAGTAACTCTTACCCAACAATATTATGACATCCTTAAGTTGGAAGAGGACTACTGGAAAATTAGGTCTAGAGTCTTGTGGTTGAATGATGGTGACACAAACACAAAATTTTTCCACATTAGTGCTACTAATAGAAGAAGAATCAATAAAATAGTCAAAGATGATATGGGAAATTGGATAGATGATCACAATTGCATAATGCTTCACACAATTAATTATTTCAAACACCTATTCACAACTTCCCAAACACATTCTACTTGGCATACAAGATCTACTGTAACCCCTATGGATACGTACAATGACCTATCGTGCCTACACTATCCCTTAACGGATCAAGAAATTACTAAGGCAGTATTCTCCTTTAATCCCTATAAATCTCCAGGACCGGACGGTCTACACCCCTTCTTTTATCAAAAATATTGGCAAACTATCAAGGATAATGTAAATACTTTTTGCCACAAAGTTTTTGAGGATAGCTGCATCCCTACAATCACTAATAAAACTTACTTGTGTCTAATCCCTAAATTTGAGAATGCTAATAATCTAAGAAATTTTCGACCAATTAGCCTCTGTAATACTA